TCTTCCCAGAGGGAAGAAACAAGTTCCCGGGAGAAGCCTCAGCGCACTAACAAGTAAACGGGCTGCTTCCTTGAGGAAAAAAACAGTTTCCCGGAGCTCCGTTGTAGCAGCCACGGATTTGCCAGCCTTCGCCAGGCTTTTGAGTCTTCCGCCCCCCCCCGCTGACGAACGCCCGATGCTGATGCGTCGGTCGCGCACGTCTGCCGGGTCCGCGCCTGTTTGGCGCTGACGTCTTCGAAACCCCGAGCGACGGGCCGCACGCCCAGTGGAGAAAGAGCGCTGCGCGCTGTGACGGCTTCCCTGTGGTCGTCGTCGTCGTCGTCTTCGTCGTGGTCGTCGTCATCTCCCTCCTCCCCCTCCCCCATCCTCCCCCTCCTCCTCCTCATCCACCTCCTCATCCTCCCCCTCCTCATCCTCCTCCCCCTCCTCCCCATCCTCCTCCTCCTCCTCCCCCTCCTCCTCCTCCTCCTCCTCCCCCTCCTCCTCCTCCTCCTCTCCTCCTCCTCCTCCCTCCTCCTCCTCCTCCTCCTCCTCCTCCTCCTCCTCCTCCTCCTCCCTCCTCCTCCTCCTCCTCTTCCTCCCCCTGAGCCAGGATCCAGCTCGGCCCAGCGGCTCCGACTCGATATCGGCTTCGGCCCGCTCGGTACGGCTCGTTCCCGATATTCGAAAGAGTGTGTTCTACCGCTGCTGGCGGAAAACCGGGGGGGGGGGGTCACTACCGGTTCGAACCCCACCCCCCCCCCCCCCCCCGGAAAACCGGGGGGGGGGGTTACCGGTTCGAACCCCTCCCCCCCCCCAGTTCATCATGAAAAGGGGGGGGGTCACTACCGGTTCGAACCCCCCCCCCCCTCGAAAACCGGGGGGGGTCACTACCGGTTCGAACCCCCCCCCCCCTCGAAAACCGAGTGGGGGTGCGGACAGTGGTGGGGACGGTGTTGGTGGGGACAGTGGTGAGGGGACAGCGGGACAGTGGTGGGGACAGTGGGACAGTGGGACAGTGGTGGGGACGGTAGTGGTGGGGACAGTGGTGGGGACAATGGTGGGAACAGGGGGGACAGTGGACAGTGGTGGGGACGGTGGTGGTGGGGACAGTGGTGTGGGGACAGTGGGAATGAGGTGGAAACAGTGGGACAGTGGAGGGTACAATGGTGGTGGGGACAGTGGTGAAGGCGGTGGCGAGGACGGCGGTGGGACAATGGGACAGAGGTACAGTGGGGACAGTGGTGGGGACAGTGGGGACAGTGGTGGGAACAGTGGGACAGCTCAGTGGGACAGCGGAGGAGTCAGTGGGACAGTGGGGACAGTGGGGATAGTCGGGCAGTGGTTGGGGCCGTGGAGACAGTGGGGAGAGTGGAACCGTGGTGGGAACAGTGGTGGGGACAGTGGGGACAGTGCGACAGTGGTGGGGGCACTGGTGGGGACAGTAGGGACGGTGGTGGAACCAGTGGGGACAGTGGTGGTGAGGACAGTGGTGCTGGGAACAACAGTGGGGGATGTGATGCGGACGGTGGTAGGGACCGGGAGTCGTTTGCTGGCGGAGGGGGGGGTCGAACCGGTAGTGACCCCCCTCCGGTTTTCGAGGGGGGGGGGGGGGGGGTCGAACCGATAGTGACCCCCCCCGGTTTTCCAGATCCGGAGGGGGGGGGGAGGGGAGGGTTCGAACCGGTAGTGACCCCCCCCCGGTTTTCGAAGGGGGGGGGGGGGGGGAGGGGTTAGGGAAAGGGGGGGTTTTGTCCGGGGGAGGAGGGGGGGGTAAGGTTCCAGCAGGGGGGGGGGCGGGGGGGGATTTTCGGAGGGGGGGGGGGCGACCCCCCGGTCCCGGAGGAAAAGGTTGGCAATCTTCCACAGTAAAGCGGCGGTGGATCACGCTCTCTCCGATATTCTGACGACCCAGTCGGCGTTTGCACGGCATTGCTGTGCGTCTTGGCGCAGCCGCCCCGACTCGATTCCGGTTCCGTGCCGATGCGGCCCGATCCGACGTATGTTTCGGTCCGCTGCGATCTCGGCTGATCGTGAGGGACCCATTCGTCCGCACCGAGCCGATCTTCGCGCGCCCCTGCGGCAGCCTCGGGAAATTGTCCGCTCGCCGTGATTGCCTTGTTATCTTGCATGCGGCCACTTTCACAGAGAAGTACGGGGTGCCAGGTGAAGGGCCGCCTACGATCCGATTAGATTCGCGGGCTAGGGTCATTATTCCGATTTGATTCAGTTCGGCTCGCTTCACCAGCATCGGCCAGGGACAGCCAGCCGGAACCAGGCGCGGCGATCCGATTCGGGCATTGCGTGATGGGGGGACGATCAATGGGGGGGGTGAAGAAAGGTGCACCTCTTGTCCACCTGAGGGCCCCAGGGGGCCCAAAAGGGGCACGAAGGGTGCATGTTTCCCCCCACCCCCGGCCCCCGTTGATCGCACACCCATTCAGCAACGCCCAACCGATTTCGATTCGGGACGATCCACCTGGGATCTGATCCGTTACCGATCCGATCCGACTTCGCGGTCAGATCCAGCTCAGGCTTGGCGGGACGACGATGCGTCAGATCGAAGAGAGGTGGGCCCTCGGGGGCCCAGGGTGCGCAGGGAGCCATCGGGTCTATGGCGCCCTCATCCGCGCCCCCCTTCCCTTTCCTCCCCCTGCCCCGCTCAACTTACGAGCTCTGGATATATCGAAGAAGGAAAAATGCATTCACATAACTTCTCGGAGCTCCGGACGGACGTCTTGGCCTCCGACGCCGCCCTTGGCGCGCCCCGCGCGCCAGGGAGGGGGGGGGTCCCAGCGCCGATCCAAGAGATTCGCGCGAGCCTCAGCAAAATCGTGTTATCGGAAACTGGAGCACATACGTTACCAGTGGCGGGCTGTTGTTCAATCGCAGGTTTTTTTTTAAGGGTCGGAGACGACATCGGGGTGGTGTGGTGTATTATTTTTCCCCGCTTTCCCGGGGAAGCGACGAAAAATGTATACACCAGGATCCCGTATACACCAGGATCCGCTTTCCTGTGCGAGTTTCAGTGCGGGGCCGGAAAAAGCGTCGGTGTATAGAGTTCTGTTCCGTATGTTAGTGCCGTGGTTTGTCTTTTGCAGACACGGGGACGCAGGGGGCAGCCGTGCGGATGAGAAGGGGGCCCCGGGAACCTCACAGATCGATCGGGCTCCAGGCGGCGTTGGGCACGCGCCGGCCTGAGGGCTGGCACATAGTGCTGGGATCATCTAGACGATTCGGCATGCCAACCATCTTGAGAAGGGTGGCCCGAAACTGGCCATGCACACACACACACACACAGAGTCCGAGCGGAGGCCGTCCGAGCTACCGAGGTCAGACGGTCACGCACCACAGTGTCCCGAGCAGACGGCAGGTGCATGAAGGCGGGGCCATGATCCGCAACAGTGCCACAAAGCCAGTTCTCCAAACAGTGTTTGCACCAAGGGGCTCTCGTCATCCTCGTCCTCCTCGTCCTCCTCGTCCTCCTCGTCCTCCTCCTCTGCCTCCTCCTCCTCCTCCTTGTCCTCGTCCTCGTCCTCGTCGTCGTCCTCCTCCTCCTCCTCGTCCTCGCTGTCCCCCTCCTCATCCTCGTTATCCTCGTCGTCCTCGTCGCCCTCGTCGTCCTCGCCCTCGCCCCGCGCGGCTGAGGGCCCCCCCCCCCAGCGCTCGCGCGAGCCCGCGCCGGCCCGAGGGGCTCTGCGCTTCGGGGCGCCTTGCCCCCGCGGGGCGCCTCCGCGCCCGATGCCCGCGGCGGCGCCCTCCGAGGAGCCGCTGGGCGGCGTCGTCGCAGTCGTCGTCGTCGCCGTCGTCGTCGTCGTCGTCGCCGTCGTCGTCGCCGTCGTCGTCGTCGTCGTCGCCGTCATCGCTCGAAGGCCAGAGGCGGGGCGAGGATCAAAGTTCGGGGGCGGGGGGGCGGTCAGAGGAAGAAAAGGGTACCGACGCCGACGCCGCTGCCCTTTCCTTTCTTCCCCATTTTTGGGCCTGCTGGGAGGCCCTCGGCGCCATGGCTGGATTCGCCTTGAAATGACCGTCAGAACGCACCCCAGGAGAGGTGTACCACTTTTCCTCTCACGTGTTTGCGAGGGCGAAAACAGGAGCCAGGGTCCCAACCTCCTGGTCATGAGGGAAGCAATCAGCAGCTTGCATTCGCTGTGCAGAAAGTGTGTGTGTGTGTGTGTTGTGTGTGTGTGTTGTGTGTGTTGTGTGTGTGTTGTGTGTGTTGTGTGTGTTGTGTGTGTGTGTTGTGTGTGTTGTGTGTGTGTTGTGTTGTGTGTGTGTTGTGTGTGTGTTGTGTGTGTGGTGTGTGTGTGGTGTGTGTGTGTTGTGTGTGTTGTGTGTGTGCGTGAATGTGTGCGTGAATGTGTGCGTGTGTGAATGTGTGTGTGAATGTGTGTGTGAATGTGTGTGTGAATGTGTGTGTGAATGTGTGTGTGTGTGTGAATGTGTGTGTGTGTGAATGTGTGTGTGTGTGTGTGGTAGCGGTACCCGTGCTTTCTGGTTTACTTAGAGCGTGCGTTGAGCTGCTGAGCTCTGGAGGCTGTCGAGCAGCTCGGCCGCACGGTGGCGGGCGCGGGCGGCGGACCAGGGGCAGGCGCAGCGCCCTGTGGGCTGCGGGCGCGGTGAAGGTCGGGCCAAGGGGACACGACACGTAAGTCTGGCATGCCCTTCTCCCCCTCCCCTCTCCTTTCCCGCCCCTTGCTTCCGGCGGTCGCACGAGCGCCTAACGGGGGGGGCCGGTGGCGCAGGGTCCCCGGCCGTGCGTCCGTCGCCTCCGAGAATTGTCCAAAATATGATGGGGACGATGTGTCGTGCTGTGTTGGCTACGTTTTGTGCATTTTGTTTGACAATGGTTTGTTTCTGCCGTCCCAAATCTGCCCGTATGAGGGCATCCCCAACCTCAGACTGCACTGGCATGGCACGCCGGAAGCTTCTGGGTCGCCCGTGGGAGCGCGGAGAGGATACCCCGCGCGCATCGCGCGCCGCGGCGGCCCCGGGGGGGGGGGAAGCTGCCCGTCGCCAAGGGAGGGCCCTGGCAGATCAGGGCGGAGCGGCGCGGCAACGCCTGCGGCGTGGCGTCTTCCGTGCGGCCGGAGAGGATTTACAGGCCTCCGAGATGAGGTCCGAGTAATCCTACGGGGTCCTAAGGAGACCTACGGATTTCCCAAGGAAGCCTCGAGCCTCACAGGTCACGGTCGAGCAGGACTGCAAGTTCCCCAAGCCGACCAGATTAGGCTGGCGCCACTGCAAGTCTAGGCCACCTAGATGGGGTCCGAGTGGACGGGGTCGGAGGATCGTGCCGCCTCGCCGACGCATCGACGATGCGGCTCGATGCGGAGCCCGTGTTTCCCCACGCGGACGTCGCCGATGCATCGCCGACGTCGCCGATGCATCGCCGATACATCGGCGATGCATTGGCGACGCGGCGCGATCCGTCGACCCCATATGGAAGGCCTTTGGAGGAGTCTTGCCCTTGGTGCGAGGCCGCCTCTAGTTGGATCCACCATCCTCCCTCCTCCCTGCTCGGGCGCGGCGACGCGGCCTCGCCGACGATGGCGCGCGAGCGCCACAGCGGCCGTTATCCCGGACCTCTGCATTTGGGAAAACAAAGAACGACTTCAACTTAATTTCTCGAAGATCCGCGCGGATTTCTCAGGGATGACGACCGTGCCCTTTGGCGGCGCCCGCGGCACCGCCCCCAGCGCGCTCCGCGCGCCAACGAGGGGGGGGGTCCGGCGACGATCCAACAAAAATCCCGCGGACCTCAGCAAAATGACGTTTATGCCGCGGTCTGTCCTTCTACAACGACGGGGACGCAAGGGGGAACCATGCGGGTGAGAAGTGGGGGCCCGGAATCGGCCAAACACGCGCACAGTCCGAGCGGAGGCCATTCGAGTTATCGAGGTCAGGCAGTCCAGAATTTGCAAGACCAGTGCCCCGAGCAGACGATAGTTGCATGAAGGTGAGATCATGATCCGCCATTATGCCGCACAGCCTGGCGGTCCTCAAACAGCGCTTGCATCAATGGGCTCTTCGTTCGGTACGTGACGTGCTCAGTGTAGGCGCGGTGGGTATAGCTGCTGTTGGCGGCGCCTCCATCCCCGCCCCTAGGGCGCCACAGAGGGGGGTTCAGCGCCGATCCAAGAAATCTTCGCGGACCAGCGAGCACAGTTCCTTGTCTTTCTACAGTAATCCCGAATCCATTCACCGCCACGTCCATCGCGGCTGCTGTTATTGAGCAGGCTGATATATTGGCCGCTGGCCTTTCCCGTTGCCGCGCCTGGGTTCGATGTGCGGGGCGCAGCCGGAACACGGGTGGGATGCGGGCTTCTGGGGCGTGAACTCATTTAGGCCATGTGGGGGCTTGCTTGGAAGCATGTGGACGGCACCTGGAGGCCGTCTTGCAGGCCCCTGGGGCCCCCACTGGGGCCTGTGTCGGTCCGACGATTTCGATCCGATGTCGAGCTCATCCAGTTCGGTACGATCCGACATTTCTTGGCGATCCTTTGCGGCTCGATTGCTTGCATGGCGTTGCTATACATTTTGGTGCAGCCGATCCGACGACTCCGTGCCGCTGCGGCCCAGTCCGACGGACCTTCCGATCCGATACGGTTTTCAATTTCGATGCTGGTCGGTCCAGAACTCGGCTTTCCGGCGGCCGTTCGGGACGAGTCGGGCATCGTTGGATCGTTCTTGGCGAGGCGCAGCTGCTGGAAAGCCTCCCGAGGCTGGAAAGCCGCCGACGATGACGCCCGAACACCTCGAGCGTCCAGCCCCGACCTGAGCCTTCCCTTCCCCAAGGCATGCGACGCCGTGATATTTTTCACGGCGCGGCCCCCAGAGTTTTGGGCCTCTCCATGGGGACGGGTTTATCACCCCGCTTTTTTGTTTGTTTCGCTGCCCCAGGGCCCGACAAGGGCCCCCTGGGCGTCGAAAACAGCCAAAAATGTACCTTGGCATCGCTCGGACGCGTGCGTTTTTGTTTCGGCGAGGACCATCGAGAAACATCCTGGATCATGTCGCAACAGAGCACGCACGAAGCCCCAAAAATGCAAAGTTGGACCTATCTGAGGCATCCTTCGGGGTGTACACTCTAGGCGATGCTTAAGAAAACCCAAGTTTTCGGCCAGAGTCTCGATTATTCTTATTGTTTCAATGTAGATCCTAAGATTTGAATAGACATTCTGGGTTTTTATTCAAGTTCTGAGACTGTGAATGTCTTAACCCATGATTTCTTAAGCATTTCGCAGGGCGTATGTGTTTCCTTCGTGCTTCGGGGAGCAGCGTTCCTTCGGCCGTGGACCTGGCGCCCAGCGCGTGCCCGAGAAAATGGCGGGGGCCGTGTGTGGGATCGGTGGCTCAGAGATGGGGTCCTGAGGGGGCATTTTGCCTCTTGCAGGTGCACTTGTTGCGTCGGCCTAGGCGCCTTCGTAACCAATTATCTCGCCCTGTGCCCCAGACGCGCCCGCCCCGCTTCTTGGACTCTTCCTTGGAGCCGCCAATCAAAAAGTAGGATCTTTGGCTCAGAGATGGGGTCCTGAGCAGTGGTTCGAGGGGCGAGGATCGAGATTCGAGGGTCGAGGGTCTAGGTTCGACGATCGGGGTTCGAGGGTCGGGCTTCGAGGGTCGAGGTGCGAGGGTTCGAGGTGCGAGGGTTCGAGGTTCGAGGTTCGAGGGTCGAGGATCAAGGGTCGAGGATCGAGATTCGAGGGTCGAGGATCGAACAAACAAGATCGGTGGTTCAAAGATGGGGTCCTGAGGGATGGGGTCGTACGGATAGGAAGGCATCCAAGGAGGGATTTACCCCAAAATCCCATCATAGCGGGGTTGAGGTCAAAAAAGCATTTGACAGCGCGTCTAGACCCCCCCCTTGAGCGGTGCAACGACGGGTCCACCATCGAGATCCCCCCACAATTTTGTTTAGCGAGGCCCGTCCTCAGGACCCCGTTCCTCAGGGCCCCATCTTTGAACCACCGACAAGACGGGGGGCCCGACAGAGCCCGAGGGGCCTTCCAGTGGCCACAGGGGGGCTCTAGAGTGTCAGAAGAGGAAAAAAGGGTACCGATGCCGCTGCCCCTGCATCAGTTTCGCATGTTTGGGCATCCCGGGAGGGCCTCATCGCCACCGATGGAGTCGCCTCGAAATCTTGGTCCGAACGCACCCCGGGAGAGAGGTCCAGGAGAGCAGCAGTATCGGTACCCTTTGGTTTCTCCGAAGGGGCTCCAGAGAGCCTTCGGAGAACCCCAAGATGGATTGCTCCAAGGCCATTGGCAAGAAAGCCTCGAAGCGGCCCCCCGGTGGCGCCAAGACGGCGCCCGTGTCTAGGCCTCCGAGATGGGGTCCGAGTAGATGGGGTCGGAGCATCTCGCAGCAGCGGCGATGCATCGGCCATGCGGCTCCATGTGGAGCCCGAGTTTCTCGACGCCGGCCTCGCCGATGCACCGCCGACGTCGCCAATGTATCGTCGATGCATCGGCGATGCATCTGCGATGCGGCTCGATCCGCCGACCCCATTCACTCGGACCCCATCTGGGAGGCCTCTACCGTGGCCGGGCTCATTCCAGGTCGCGAAACTACTTCGGTATTTGAGCCACCTCGGGGGTACCCAGGTGTGGAACCGATTCAGTACAGGGTTGCCGGGCTCGTTTCGATTCCTACGATTCGGTTCGACTTCGATGGCTTCCGATTCCGATTCGATTCGGCTTGGGATTTCGATTTGGGTTCCGATTTTTCATTGGAGGCATACTAGCCCGCCGATATCCGCGAATCGACTTTTCACGACTCGGCTGCTGATTTCCGCCGATCCGATTCATTCCGATCGCCGATCCGACTTCTCGATTCGATTCTGGGCTCTCCTGGGGTTGGAGAGCAACTTGGCTGAGGTCTAGCATCTTGTCACGGCATTCGGCGTCTTGGAAGGATGATGCAGGGGTGGATTGGCGCCACCATTTTTCCAGGCCGCCCAGAGGAGGTCGACGAAGATGTGGGGTCGGTAAACGACGCCGCGTCGCCGATGCACCAGCGATGTGGAGCCTGATCTTCTCCGCGCCGACGTCGCCGATGCATCGCCGACGCGGCGCGGTCCTCCGACCCCGTCTGCTCTGGCCCCATTTTGGGCGGCGTCCAGTCTTCCTCCTGCATCCTGTTGGCTTGCTGCTTCCCTCCGCCTCGGCTCCTCCACCGCTCTGCATGTGTGAAGTCTTCGCGAATTCGCAGTACTCTTGGAGACTCAATCTCGTGAGTGTCAACAGGCGCCAACGACACGCACGCCGTCTTTCTAAAAAACTGCGCGAGTTGCTCGCTCGATGTTTGCGCAAGAGCCGGATTGCTTTTCCAGAAGAGCACGCCGATGAGGTCGCCCGGCTGGCTGGCGTCGTCCAATTGTTGTTAAGTCGGGCGTGTCCCTCTAGAGGAGGAATATTCAAAACAAATTGCAAAAAAATAGTCGGGGGACGATTTTTTGAGCATTTCTTCTATGTTTGAACATTTGGGGGGTATCCTTATTCTTTCATCCAAACTCTCCCTGCAGGGGACATGCCCGATCTAACACTGTTGACCCCCGCCCCCTGTCCGAGGTGCAGCGCGGCGCCGGGCACGCGGCTTCGCCCCCGGCGCCCCAGCAGCCGACCGGCCCGCTGTTGCCCCTTGAGTCCGACCTGGACGTGGAGAGCAGGACGCGGCTGGATGCTGTGGCGGAGGACGCGCGTCGCCCGCCGCCACGGTCCCGGCGCGCTGCCCCCGCTCGGGGTGGGGGGGGGGGGCGCCCAGGGTGTTCGGGCTTTGTCGTTGGCTCTCGGCGGGTTTCCAGCCTCGGCATGCGCCCCAGCGCGGCTGCGCCTCGCCGAGAGGCGTCTGGGGGTGCTCGGACCGTCCCGAACGGCCGCCAGAGGCCCGAGCTAGGACCCGGAAACCAGATCCGGGCGCTGCAGTTTTCCACACCGGGCGTTTTCGCTGGGTTTCGGTCCCTGGGGCCCTCACAGATCGATCCAGCTCGAAAGCTGCTAATTACGGAAAGAGGCGGGTCTGGGGCTCCGGTCGTGACGCTTCGCGATGCTGCTCTTTTCTTCGCAACGTCGGATCTCAGTGCTGCGTCCCACCGGAGGCATTCCAGGAGCGGAGGTCCGGGGAGGGGGGAGGGGGAGGGAGTAATTGCGGAGGGTCTGCGCCGCGCTGGCGCGGCGGCGGCTCCATAGCGGGCGCTCACGGTTGATCTCGGAGGTTGATAGGCTTCTTGCCGTGGCACGCCGATTGGGGAATTGGCCGTTTTCGGTTCGCGAGAGGGCGTCGTGGCCGTCATTTTTGCGGGTCCAGGTCCGTCGGTTTCGGTCCCAGGCCGTTTTCACTAAGGGGAGGTTGACTAAAGGGAGGTTTGTCCACCGCCGAGTTGATCGGCGGATGCAATCGGGCCGCGGAAGAAGGAACCTTCTTCGTTGGGGAGGGGCTCAGTGCTCCTTCATTTCTTTATGTTACACTTGTTCTCAGGTTTCCCTGGGGTTTTCTGTGAGGAATCGAAGTTCAACGTATGGGATAAAGGGGCTTCGTTCCGTACTTAGGGTTCCTTATGACAGCGTTTCTCGGGCCGGACGAAAGGGGGGTATTGGGAAAGGGGGGGTTACGAAATTTGCTGCATGCAGCTGGTTTCGGCCACACCGAGGGGCCCATTCCTCGCTACATAGCCGCATCTGGCGCCGGGAGGCGCCGCGAAAATCAGCTACGTGAGCTGATTCGCAAACCCCCCCTTTGCTATCCCCCCCTTTTGCCCGACCCGAGTTTCGATTGTACGGAGGGTTTGCACCGCGTTGACGCGGCGGCGACGCCACAGCGGGCGTTCCGGGCCGATCGGGGGACATCGATGGCGAGCGATCCGCGTTGTCGGTGTGCAGTGGTCGTTCCGGGTGGAGCGAGTCTGCTCAGGAGGAGGAGAGGTTCGGAGGCCACAATCGGGGGGGGGGGATAAGCATAGGGGGGGATGCATCGACCCCCGATCGCCCACGAATCGCCGGCAGGGGCCCGATAGCCCCACCCTGCCCAGGAACTTGCGGATCCACTGTCGGGGGCCTACCGGCGATGTATCGCCGATTCCGGGTCGATACGTCCCCCCTATGCCAGTCCCCCCCCTCTTGCTGCCCCTCAAGGAGAGGAGGGGAATGGAAGGGAAGGATGGGGGGAGTAGGGCGCAACTCCTGGGAGGCGAAATTCGGCATCGTCGCTGGTATATCCACGGTCGAACACCTGCACGATTCCGCCGAACCCAGCTTAATCCCGTTCAATGCAGCTTAATCCCGGGCTTGGTCTGGCTTTATTCGATTGAATGGCCATTGATCAGGTTCAATAGCAATGATCGATGGCGAGCTGGAGGAAGTGAGAATGAGAAGGCCTTCAGAAGGTTCGGAAGTCCCCCAGTATTCTGAGTTTGAGCCTTCCCCGAAGACACAGCAAACATTTCTCAGAAGGCGCGAGGTCTTCTGAGAAGCCCCGCCGCCTTCTGAGAAGGCCTTCTCTTTCTCACTCACTTCCTGGCGCGCCGCCGAATATCGGTCAAAATCAGTCCCTGGACCCCCCCCGGGTCCATCCAACGCGGTTTTTCACACTTCCGCCTTCTGAGAAGGCTTTCTCCTTCTCACTTCCCCCCCTCGCTCGCCGCCGAACATGAGCATCGGGTGAGGAGACCGATCCCGTGGGAAGAGCAGAGAGCGGGTGGTGCCGACTATGAAACGGGTGGGGGCAGGGGGGAGGTGGCAGGCTGGAGGTGGAAGCGAAGGAGGAAGGGGAGGAGGAGGGAGAGGAGGGAGGAGGAGGAGGAAGAGGAGGAGGAGCAGCAGGAGGAGGAGGGCGACGAGGAAGAGGAGGAGGAGGAGGAGGAAGAGGAGGAGGAGGAGCGGGAGAAGGAGGTGGAGGTGGAGGAGGGTGGAGGTGGAGGAGGAGGAGGAGGAGAGGAGGAGGAGGAGACGAGGAGGAGAGAGGACGCGTCCGCCGCCGACATGAGTCGTGCTCACGAAGCCCTCCCAGGGGCTGCTTCCTGCGGAAGGGGGGGGGGGGGGGGGAAAGGGGAGGGGAGGGGAGAAGGGGGGTGGAGGGGGAGGAGGAGGAGGAGAGGGGAGGAGGGAGGGGGGGGGGGAGGGGGGGGGAGGGAGGAGGGGGAGGGGGAGGGGAGGGACAATGCAGCGCCGTCGGGCCCGTGGTGCTCACTGCGCCGTTCCTCCGCTCCTGCACACCGCGAGCTCACAGTTTACACGGGGCATTCCAGAGAGGGCCTTGCCTTTGAGGATCGCAGGACTTGCCAACAGTCTCCCAAGGAGGCTCCTCCTTCTCCTCCTCCTCCTCCTCCTCCTCCTCCTCCTCCTCATCCGCATCCTCATCCTCATCCTCATCCTCATCCTCATCCTCATCCTCCTCGAGGCTCGAGCTCACAGCTTATACGGGGCGGCTCAACGAGGGCACTGCCCTCTAGGATCGGAGGACTTGCCAGCAGTCTCCCAAGGAGGCTCTGGAGCCGTGTTGGCGCTTGTGGGAAGCTCGCTGGAGGCCATTGTGAGCAAATGTGGGACACGCTGCGCCAGGTTGGAAACAATAATAGGACATATCGGGTCACATCGGAGCCATGACGGCCCAGCAGTCTCCCAAGGATGCCCCCGAAAAGCAAATAAGCACCAAACACCGATGATAGCTCAAATAATGCATCTATAAACGAGGGGCGGCGCCGATTTGCGTCGGCCCTCTGGAGCACGACAGATCGCATATTGGAGCCGTCTTGGGACGCCTTTGGGCCTTTGGGGCCGCCTTGTAGCCTTGATGGGCCCCCGTGGGGTTTTTTTGAGGAGCGGCCTTGGAGCCATATGAGGCGTTCCAGAAAGGGCCTCGCCTTCGAGAATCGAAGAACTATACATATAACGGGGAACCGTGTCCGGGGGCCGGGGGCCGGCGCCTCGACCACAAATGTGGGACCGGCGTCATTTTCCTTGTGTTTTTTGACACGGTTTCGGCGACCCGGGCCTTTCAAAACGCCTCCCCAATAAGCAAAAAGCATTGATTTCCGATGGGAAACTGACATTTGTGGCGTGTTCGCCTTTTGGGCTTCCACTGCGTCCAAGACGGCCCAAGATGCCCCCAAGACCGCCCCACAGGCTCCCAAGAGGGCTCCAAGACGACCCCAAGAGGGTCCCAAGACGGCCCGAGAGGCCCCCAAGACAGCCCAAGAGAACCCCAGGACGACCCCAAGAAGGTCCCAGAGGTGCACAACCATACTCTAATTCCGAGCTTTCGGCCCCAGAGGCTCCCAGGAGGCCCCAAAAGGTCTCCAGGAGGCCCCAAGAGGCCTCCCAGAGGCCCCAAGAGGCCCCCAAGAGACCCCTAGGAGGCTCCCAAGAGGCACCCCAATAGAGCCCCAAATAAGCATGCATCGTCGATTTCCTATAGGAAAACTGATTTTTTGGCGTGTTCGCCTTTTGGGCTTCCACTGCGTCCAAGACGGCCCAAGAGGCACCCAAGACGGTCGAGGATGCCCCCAAGAGGGCTCCAAGACGGCCCACGAGGGGGCCAAGACGGCCCACGAGACGCCTAAACCGCTCAACCACGCGCCAAGTCGGCGCCCAAGACGGGGACGAGGAACCGAACATGCGAGCCATTTGACTCAAGAGGCACCTGGGAGACCCCAAGACGCTCCAAGAAGCGCCCAAGAAGCCCCAAGAGGTCCCCAAGAGACCCGCAAAAACACAAAAAGAGTCCCCGAACACGCCCCAACGGGCACCCCAATAGAACCCAAATAAACACAAATTGTCGATTTCCTATAGGAAAACTGATATTTGTGGCGTGTTCGCCTTTTGGGCTTCCACTGCAAGAGGCACCCAAGCCAGTCGAGGATGCCCCCAAGAGTCGGCCCACGAGGGGGCCAAGACGGCCCCCGAGGCGCCCAAACCGCCCAAGAACGCCCCGAGTCGGCGCCCAAGACGGGGACGAGGAACCGAAGATTCGACCGTTTTGGCCCAAAAGGCCCCGAGGAGACCCCAAGAGGCTCCAAGAAGCGCCCACTCCCCAAGAGGCCCCCCCGAGACCCGAAAAAACACCCAAAGAGCCCCTGAAGGCGCCCCAAGAGGCACCCCAATAGAGCCCCCCCGGCCCAGGGTGCCACACCTCCCCGCGACATCTCGGGAACGCTCCCAGTACGGCTCCCCCGGGCGTTCCGGGGCGCCTCCACAGCGCTCCATGGGAGGGCCCGAGACGCGTCCCAGGAGCCCCCAGACTGCGAAAGGATGGTCCAAAACGCTCCCAAGCAGCCCAAGTCAGCCTTCCGACGGCTCTCGAGGCTCCCAGGTAACCTCCAAGAGGTCCGAGAGGCGTCCCAGGACAGCCCGAAGAGGCCAAAATCGCATATTTTCCTTAGTTGTTCAATGTTTTTTGGCTTCTCGCGTTTTCGAGCTTCCAACGGTCCAAGAGCGCCGACGAGGCTCCCAAGACCGCCCCAAGACCACCCACGAGACCCTCAGGACGGCCCCAAGACGGGCCAAGAAGGCTCCAAGACTGCCGAAGAGGCGCCCAGGACAGCCCTAGACCGCCCCAGAACAGGCCCAAGATGGGGCCAAGAGCGGGATCAGGAGGCTTCCAGAGACCTCCGAAAGGCCTCCGGGACCACCCAGAGGCCCCCAACACACCCCCGATCCCTGACAGGCCCCAGAAAGACCCCGACAAGGCTCCAAGAACA